TTTCTTGTTATTAGCACACCCCAATTAGGATAGATAGTATGGTGACACCGCTACCGACCCTTGAAGCCTCTTGTGTCACTTGCCTGCTGGCCGGACTATGGAAACATCATCATTGCACGGCTAATATCCTCCCAGTACACGTCTCCTGTACTGTGAATGAATACCTCCCCTATAGGCTCCCGCTGCCTGAAACAAGTTCTACCAAGAGTATTGTGCAATATAATGAGCTGGACTGAGTAAAATAATGCTGCTCTGTTTATCTTTCTGCTGTGTAGAGTATTCACCTCCGTAACATCTCCAAATTCCGACCTTTTTTAACCAATGACAGCACCGAGATACAAATTCACTCCCTTTTTATCTCTCACCTCGACTACTGCAACTCCCTCCTCATTGGCCTACCTCTACAGAGGCTATCCCTCTTCACTCTACCATGAATGCTGCTGCCAGGCTCACCCACCTTACCAACCGCTCAGTGTCCACCACCCCTCTTTGCCAATCCCTCTACTGACTTCCATCCTCCACCCCTCTCTGCCAATCCCCTCCACTGGCTTCCATTCCCCACCACTCTCTGCCAATCCTTCCACTGGCTTCCATTCCTTGCCCTTCACCTGCCAATCCCTCCTCTGGCTTCTATACCCACTCTCCCTGACATTTCCTCCACTGGCTTTCATCCCCCACCCCTCTCTGCCAATCCCTCCACTGGTTTCCATTCATTGCTCCTCTCTGCCAATCCCTCCACTGGCTTCTATACTCACACTCTCTTATATTCCCCCCACTGGCTTTTATCCCTCACCCCTACTTCCCAATCCCTCCACCGGCTTCTATACCCACACTCTCTGATATTTCCTCCACTGGCTTTTATCCCTCACCCCCTTCTTCCCCATCCCTCCACTGGCTTCTATACCCACACTCTTTGATATTCCCCCCACTGGCTTTTATCCCTCACCCCTACTTCCCAATCCCTCCACTGGCTTCTATCCCCACCCTCTCTGATATTCCCTCCACTTGCTTTCATTGCCCCCCCCCCTTTCTACCAATCCCTCTACTAGCTTGCATCCCTTGCCCCTCTCCCAATCACTCCACTGGCTTCCATCCCCTGCCCATCCCTCCACTGGCTTCCATCCCCTGCC